GTCTCCCGTTCTGGGCAGCACAACTCAAGAATGATATTGACAAGCCAGAATATCTCCAGAGACGGGCTGTAGGGAATGTCTAAAAAGAGCTGGGTGTGTTTAGCTTAGAGCAGTGGGTCTCACCCTGTGGGTCTCTCCCCAGGTGTTGTGGCCTACAACTCCCAGAACTCCCAGCCAGTTGATCAGTTGTGAGGGTTTCTGGGAGGTGAAGGCCAAAACGCATCTGGGGAGAGACCCACAGGTTGAGGAAAGAAGGAAGGGCTTCTTCCTTGGCAGGGAGGGGGGGGGGAGGCAGCCACGGAATAGTTTTTTGGGTTCATGTGGACCCCCCCCCCACTGTCTACACCACATGACTGTCGTGTAAAAAGATGGATAGGAATGCATGACACTCACCTCTAGTGTGTCATGAGACAGTTCTTAATAGACACGTGTTCACAGCACAATAATCTCAAGGGTTAAGACAACAGAGAAGATGGCGTGACAGGGACGGAATCTGGTACTTGGTCAGTGGACTGAGTGATTCAAGCCCAACCTTCCCCTCCTCCAAACAGATCTGGTCCTCTTCCCACCCTCTCTCAAGTGAGAAGGCCAGAGCTGAGCGAGAGATTCTCCTGACTGGACTGACCGGTCCCCTCTTTCAGGACGGAAATGGCAGGCCTCTCGTGTCTTGACTGGAGGCCTCTCTTGTTCCAGCCGGACTTCTGCCTGGCGTCCATTCCGTCCTGGTTCCCTCTGGATTCCTTCTTCGTGACACTTTGTTGACCTTCCGTTTCTCCTTCCCTTTTTCCTTCTTGCTTGGCTCCCCCTTCTCATCCTGCTTTCTCAGTTTCCATTGTCCTGCTCTAAGCAGTTTTGTTACTTGGTCAATGGACTGATTAATCCATTCATAATTTCCAGTGGTTTCATAACTTTTAGCCAATACATTAAAATTGAACAGTGATGCTATTACGTTCAGCCAATATCTTCTTATGTTCTTTTCCTTTCTCAATTTTAGGAGGTTTCAACTGAACACTGGATTTCTCCCTTAAGCACTTTTATCCCATCAATGTCGTGTTTTGGTAAGTTTTCAAATAAATGTTTTTTGCAAGCAAGCTCCTACATTTGGCAATGCTTCAGGAGGATGTTTGATAAATCCGTGAGCTGTGCTGACTTCCCTTTGATTCAAGGCCACGCTGAAATCCCTTCCTCCTTTCCTTCCTCTTTTCTCTCTGTTCCAGAAAATGACAAATCTCTAGCCGTCCCCTGCCAGGCGTTGCTGTGGCCCAGTCTGGAGATCTGGAAAATAAATGAGAAAGTATTGGTTTCTAATATATGCAATTTCTTTCCGCTTGTGGATAAACAGTATTTCTTGCTGTTTCTTTGTCAGTGTTGATGTGGAGAGGGTCTGGTTTGCCCACTCTGGAACATGCAACATATAATTGTCCTTCTTTAGGGGTCCCTTTCAAATCTATGATACTATATCTCTCTGTGTGAATCATATCTATCTATCTATATCTATGGCTGGATGGCTCTTTGTCAGGAGGGCTTTGATTACGTTTTCTTGCCCTGGTGAAGGGAGTTGGACTAGATGGCCTTAAGTATGGGGGTTCTGTGTGGGAAGTTTGCCCCAATGCTGTTGTTCATAGGGTTCAGAATGCTCTTTCATTGTAGGTGAACTATAAATCCCAGTAACTACAACTCCCAAATGTGAAGGTCTACTTCCCCCAAACTCCATCTGTCTTCACATTTGGGAATATGGAGTATTTGTGCCAAGTTTGGTCCAGATCCATCCTTGTTTGAGTCCACAGTGCTCTCTGGATGTAGGTGAACTACAACTCCCAAACTCAAGGTCAATGCCCACCAAACACTTCTAGTGTTTTCTGTTTGTCATGGAAGTCCTGTATGCCACGTTTGGTTCAATTCCATCATTGGTGGAGTTCAGAATGGTGAAGTTTGGGGAAAATAGACCTTGACATTTGCGAGTTACAGTTGCTTGGACCTGCCATCAAAGAGCATTCTGAACAACTAAACTGAACCAAACTCGGTATGAAGAACTCCCATGACCAACAGAAATTACTGGAGAGCTTTGGGGAAAATAGACCCTGACATTTGGGAGTTGAAGTGGCTTGGATTTATAGTTTACCTGCCCTCAAAGAGCATTCTGAGCACCACCAACCATGCAACTGAACCAGACTTGGCACGCAGAACTCCCATGACCAACGGAAAATACTGGAAGGGTTTGGGAGAAAGTAGCAGTGATTGGAGGTTCCCAAATGGAGAGGAGGAGGAAGGAGAGCCCAGAGGAGAATGAGGAGGAAGGCAGGAGTTCAAATTTGGTCGTATTGAGTATTTTTGCCATGTGTGGTCCAGATCCATTGTTTGGGTTCACGGTGCTCTCCAGATGTAGGTGAACTACATCTCCCCCAAATCACTGTCCATTCATCCCAACCCCCTCCAGTATTTTCTGTCAGTCACGGGGGTTCTCTGTGCCACGTTTGGTCCAGGTCTGCAATTTGTGGGGTTCTCAGCAGTCTGTGGCAGTCAGAGCTGAATTGGGTGAAGGAACTGCAAATCCCTTCATCCGTTGTCCATACTCCCTAAACACATTGTTGTTGTGATTAATCACTATGCTTTAATTATGTTCAGTTTGTAACAATAAAAATCCATCCTGCATATCAGATATTTACGTTACAATTTGTAACAGTAGCAGTTATGAAGTAGCAACGAAAATATGGTTGGGGGTCTCCACAACATGAGGAAGTGTATTTAGGGGTCACGGCATGAGAAAGGTGGAGAACCACTGATCTGGATGAAGGAATATCATTTTTGAGGAGGTCCAGTTCAGCCGCTAGAGAATGGATTGCGCGTTTGACCACAAAAGGAGCAATATATTTGGGGGGCTTGATTGTCCAAAAATTGTAGGCAACTCTCCAGATTGCAGAGGGTTCAAATCCCACTTTGCCCTCCTTGTCCCCCTGCGTGCCTCCTGCCCGTCCCTTTGCCCTGCTCCGGTGCCTCTTCTGTGCGAGGCCAGGCATCGCGGACCCTCCGTACCCAATCTGGCTACGCCAGGGGTCAAAGGGGATGGTTGCAAGGGTCGGCGAAGGCCAAAGGGGTTCAGAAGGCAAAGGCCCAGCCTTGCAATTTACAGAGTTTCATCATCATCTCATCTATCCTGCTTCCTGCTAACAATAAAAGCAACACAGGATATAATTTAAAGCCAAAAAATGCACACATTAAAATTAAACATTGACACTATTTAAAATAAACAGTTGAAGCCAATTAGAAGCCTGTTCTGAGCCATCCCAGGAAAGGTAAGCCGTTCCAACCCGTCACCTTGTTGGCAATTAAGGTAGCAATGCAAACGTTAATGGATCACCTGCTGGACGCTCTCAGTTGGGCCAAGACGTTGGAGGGCAATAGGCAGGACTCAGAGCTGGCCGTACTCCCAGGAGACTGAAGAGCCCTCCCCAAAACTAGGAGGCAAAGTGGGCCCCGCAATCTGCAGTTACTGTGAGGAGAAAGCCATGGTACTTGTGGATGTGATCAATAAACTCTCTGGTTAATTGGGGGACCATTTACCTGGTGGCACAAGCTATGCAATGTCCTGCTTAGGAAACAAGCCTGGCACTACCCAGGTGACAGCCTCAGCTCACCTGGCAGGTGATCCTCAATGAAACCCCTACAAAAGGGCTCCGGGGGCCGAAGAGGGGCCTGTAGTGGATGCGGTGAACTTGATGTCTTCCCTCCTACCCCTTGAGCCAGAGCAGAAGCATCATCTTTAGCACTGGGGGTCCATCCTTCCATCCTCCCTCTACCCCCTTCTCTCGTGTTCTGCTGCTAGGCTGAGTGCCTCCCACCCTGTGCTTCTGCATCCCTATCTCCGTTTTTGTGGTCTTGGTGTAGAAGTTTGCTTTGTTTTTTTTCTTTGCATTTGTTCTGCCTGATGTTTCATACCTTTGTGGTATAGGTTTTGTAAGAATGCAATATATCAAGAGCTCTGCAGCCTAATGTGCTCTCAGTGTCTCCAGGTGCCTTGCTTTAGAAACGTGGGGCAGGGATCACACTGCAGGGAAAGAGAGGATCAGGAACATATTTTTTTCTGAGTTGGAAGAAATGAAGTATTTTTCTCACAAGACTGACCACTTGGGATGGTCTGCCCGTACAGGTGGTCACTCAGGTTCTGAGTTGGGATGTGAGGAAGCGGGATCCAGGCAGGAAACGCTTTGCAATCTGAGTCCTTTCTGCGCTGACCATATTGTTAGAAGTCTTCCTTTGCAAAGGTTGGATGACACTCTGAACACACTGCAGTGAAAGTAATCTCATACAGGGAATCTTGGGCCACTCTCCCCTCTTTGCAGGGCTTGCTCTTTGTTGGGCAAGTGTTAAAGTTCTTCTCAGCAGGCAAAGGCTCTCCTCAGTAGGACCGCTCTTTCTCCCTTCTTCTCCTGCATTGGCTACAACACTAAGCTATTGTTCGTATTGTATTGTCGAAGGCTTTCATGACTGGAATCACCTTCTCAACCTCTGAGGATGCTTGCCATAGATGCAGGCGAAACGTCAGGAGAAATGCCTCTAGAACATGGCTCCATAGCCCGAAAAAACCCACAAGAACCTATTGTTCGTATTGTTCAATGAGATATTTCTGTGCTCTGCTCCTGATAAGATTTTCCTCTCATTTCTCTGGCAGGTAACCTCTGAATGAACCTCGAGAAGAACACTTCCCTTTGGCTTAGGTCAGGAATGAAATTACACAGCACTCACAAGAAATAAGTTGGAGAAATTATATTTCAAGCTGCATAGCTGTGCATTTAAGGAGGAAAGGGAGGATTGTGCTGTAAACAGTGGGGCTTGGTAATTTATTTATTCAAATGGACTAGAGCAATACAAAGACTGAGAAGAGGAAATCAGGAGAACATATCTGTGACCTTCTCGCATAATATTTGAATCATAAATGTAAAAGAATGGAAAATCTCAATTCCTTATCAAAATCACACACAGGGGAGACGCGATATAACTATATGGACTGTGGGAAATGTTTCACTGCGAGAAGTTCTCTTACTACACATCAACGAACTCACACAGGAGAGAAGCCATATAAATGCGTAGAATGTGGAAAGAGCTTCAGTCAGAGTGGAAATCTACGTACCCATCAAAGGACGCACACAGGAGAGAAGCCACATACATGCATGGAATGTGGAAAGAGCTTCATTCGGAGTGGACATCTGCGTTCCCCTCAAAGGACCCACACAGGGGAGACGCTGCATAAATTCATAGAATGTGGAAAGAGCTTCAGTAAGAGAGGACACCTGCGTACCCATCAAAGGACACACACAGGAGAGAAGCCACATAAATGCATGGAATGTGGAAAGAGCTTCAGTCACAGTGCAAGTCTGCGTAACCATCAAAGAATCCACACAGGGAAGAAGCCACAGAAATGCATGAAATTTGGAAAGAGCTTCAGTCGGAGTGACAGTCTGCGTAAACACCAAAGAACCCACACAGGGAAGAAGCCACATAAATGCATGGAATGTGGAAAGAGCTTCAGTCAGAGTGCGAGTCTGCGTATCCATCAAAGGACCCACACAGGGGAGAAGCCACATAAATGCATGGAATGTGGAAAGAGCTTCATTCGGAGTGGACATCTGCATTCCCATCAAAGGACCCACACAGGGGAGAAGCCGCATAAATTCATAGAATGTGGAAAGAGCTTCAGTAAGAGAGGACATCTGCGTACCCATCAAAGGACCCATACAGGAGAGAAGCCACATAAATGCATGGAATGTGGAAAGAGCTTCAGTCACAGTGCGAGTCTGCGTATCCATCAAAGAACCCACACAGGGGAGAAGCCCCATAAATGCATGGAATGTGGAAAGAGCTTCAGTGAAAGTGGGACTCTGCGTATCCATCAAAGAACCCACACAGGGGAGAAGCCACATAAATGCATGGAATGTGGAAAGAGCTTCAGTCGGAGTGGAAATCTGCGTACCCATCAAAGAACCCACACAGGGGAGAAGCCACATAAATGCATGGAATGTGGAAAGAACTTCAGTGAAAGTGGAACTCTTCGTATCCATCAAAGGATCCACACAGGAGAGAAGCCACATAAATGCATGGAATGTGGAAAGAGCTTCAGTGAAAATGGGACTCTGCGTATCCATCAAAGAACCCATACAGGGGAGAAGCCACATAAATGCATGGAATGTGGAAAGAGCTTCAGTGAAAGTGGGGCTCTGCGTATCCATCAAAGAACCCACACAGGGGAGAAGCCACATAAATGCATGGAATGTGGAAAGAGCTTCAGTGCCAGTGCAAGTCTGCGTAAACACCAAAGAATCCACACAGGGAAGAAGCCACACAAATGCATGAAATGTGGAAAGAGTTTCAGTCGGAGTGACAGTCTGCGTAAACACCAAAGAACCCACACAGGGAAGAAGCCACACAAATGCATGGAATGTGGAAAGAGCTTCAGTCGGAGTGACAGT